GTACAATTAGTGACCGATCCCGATGTTCTTTTTTTATCCATTTCGAACGCTCGTAGAACAGTCCTGTGTGTCAAAGCCGAATTAACGGAAACTGGCCCAGAACTGGCATTTCACTGGCATCGGTTCCCCCTCTGTTCGACGGTTACGATTTCCATAGGAAAGTGTTAGGTTGAGCCATAATTTCTGGAGTACCTTGGCTGTATTGAGTATTACTTTTTTTGTAAAGTTTCCTATGGTTGTTTACCCAACATAGTACACATCGCCACCAAAAGCCAATGCATGGGATAGCCAATACATGGGACGTTGCTCGATGCCTCTCATGTAGAAATTCAGAGACTTCTGGAAACTTTTATTCTGAAAAAGTGAGTTGGAGAATGAATTAGGTTGTAATCCGCTTAAGCGAAGTTATGGCTATGGGGTAAAAGCGGAAGGACCATCCATCTTAGACTGCCTAATTTTTCCAGGAATTCTTTCGAGATGTAGGGATGAGTGTCGCCACAAAAAAGTCATATCCGCTTTTTCAGCTGTTGACGATCGATCGAGCTGCAAGCAGCAGGGTTAACAGCAGTACCAGCCAGCTTGCAGTGTCTTCAAAATTAGCTGGTATGAGTTTAATGTGTGCAGCTTCCTTCGTACCCCACCAAATTCAGAAAGTTTGTCCACGGGCCGAGAAGAATTTTGGCTCTTGGAACTCTCTGCTAAATCCGCTGCCACTTGAAGGCATAGTGAGTGTATAGTACATAGTTTTCATTGCCACTGACTATGTCGAATACAAATTTGTTATGAAATACAAAGAGGTACATAACGCATTTCTGGTAACGGGTACGTACTAGGGGAGGGTAGGGTGGTGGAATGGAGTACAGCCGGGGCGGCTTTTCCCATAAATGATGCCATCATGATCAATTGGTGAGTGAGGCTCCCCTGCCGTCACTCCAATCATGTCCCCCCACCCCACCCTCCTTCCTACGCCCTCTCGTTTGCAGGCATAACCACTGTCAGATCGTGTTTTGGGATGGTGCGGGCAAAGTGTTAGAAATCTCGTCATTTGGAGGTTCACGGAAAACGTTGCTACACAGCCAGGATGGACGGGACCGGTTAAGCTGCAATCAAAGGGCTTCGAGCTATTTTCAAATTTCTTAAGGTGACGACATACTGGAAACGTCGGTCAATAGGAGCCGTTTCACCATAACAACCTGTGCGGCAAGGAAGAGGCATTCATTAGTATTCAAATGAAATTTGTTTGGAAAAGGAGTAACTAATGCACGATAAATATAATGCGCAAAAATAGAGCGTTTTCCAACATGATCCCTGCTTTAACAATGAACTGTCCACATTACCAGATTTTTCGATTTGAGGGCGATTGACGAAATCGCGGGATGACATGAAGTAGAAGAGTTCAAATGGTCCGTCGTCGAGCATTGAACATCCGTGTTGACTGAAATCCTTGTTGAGTAATGAAGGGTTAGGCCGGCGTTCCGGAAATCTCCAGATGGCGCCACGCCCTGCGACATCCTCATACGTAAGTGTATCCGAAGGAAATAAATGAAGGAATTTAAGTGAGGCTGAGAAAGAGAAGCATTCCAGAGAAATGAATTCCAGCAAAGAGAAAACTTTTGCAATCGGTTCCTTT